GATATGCAAACCATTAACCCATATTTTTAACATGTCATTTCGACTTGGGCAGTTCCCCAATAATATGAAAATAGCAAAGGTTATTCCACTGTATAAATCTGGTGATAAGCACAACTTCACAAATTATAGACCGGTTTCTCTGTTGTCACAATTTTCAAAAATCCTGGAAAAACTCTTTAATAACAGATTATAAGCAAATTGATAATGCATTTGTGGATACATATTGACTGTCTTTACATGTTTGAAAGAATAAATCAAATCAAATCAAATCATGTACCAGTATGAGGCACTGAAAATGCAGTTCAACAGTTTAAAGCTACCTCTTTAGACTTTACTTTACAAATGTAGAAAACTGTTTAAATTTACATGAGATCCTTCTGCCTTAAGCTTAACTTTTTCCGTCCTTTGTGTCTCTGTGATGTTTATGTCACAGACACACAGAACTGCTCAGGGGGAGGGTAAGAGGTGGAGCATGCAGCTCTGACCAACACTCGCTTCCAGTTTGTGTCTGACCGGCGAAGTGAGACTACTAATATTAAGAAATAGTTATTCATATAAAAAGTCAACACCCACATGACCCTTTATTCTCCAGACCATGACAGCTTGAAAAAAAAACACAAGACTATAAACTACTAAACACTACACTACACAAACTTCAAAGATTAGAGACTTTATAAACATCAGGCTTTAATAACTATTGTAACTATAAAACAGTATACTATTATTATTATTATTCTTTATTTATTATTATTATTATTTATTATTATACATACAACCTCGTCTCCACCATCACACGGAGGTACACACACACGCACGCATGCGCCTCTACAGATGCAGTTAAAATACTCGCATTCACGCACACACACGCAAAAAGCGGACCGCATCCAAAAAAAAACTGCGCAGTATATATTCAGTATATTTACAGTATATCTACAGCCTGTATAAAGCATTAATATAACCCAATATATATTTTTCTTAAACTTTTGTCACATTTCATAAAACATGAAGCTATTTACAACACATATACCCAGCCTAAATTCAAACACACACTTTTAAGTCCGGACTGTTATATATTTACAAAAAGCGCTTTAGGTGGGCTTTCACTATAGTTGGCCAACAGGGACCGTATGACCGGTGCCCTAGGGCAGGCCAGGTTCGGTCCAGCTGATCAAATCCGGCCAAAACCCAGCGTCATACCCTTCGAGTTGTCCTCTCCAATCGGGACTGCGAGGGCGCAAGTCGTCTGCTTCTACAGAAACTACTATAATTTCACCAGTCAACTTAACATCTGTGATTTAGCTTCTTCAATCGCTGTGACTACTCTTTGAGCTTCAATTACCTGTAGACCCACCAGCAGTACAAACCTTGCACTACAGCCTTATCATAAACTTATTTATTTAAATCCCATCCAGACACTCATACATATTTATAGTTCATAATTTAGCTATAATTTAGCTTCCTCAATCTGGTCTGTCATCTCATAACTTTTAACACCCAATTGACTGTATTTCTCTTAATTCTCCTAAAAACAACAACAATAACCAGCACAAACACACAGTTACTTATTTACACAATGTTAACAAATCCTATACCTTCACACACACACTCACCACACATTCACAGAGGTAGCAGAACACACACACAAACGGAGCAAGGAGGGGGAGAATTACTCCCCACATACTCATTGTTTCACAAAAATATAAAATAAGTCTTATACTCACCTCAGCAACACAGTAAACTGTCTGAACACATGAACTTGACACAAGAACAACAAGAAATTGCAATACGGACAATTCTCAGTCATCCCTCTGTCCCTAACTCCAGACACACTTCACGGCCAAGTACACAACACCAAACAAATAAATGTTCACATATTTAAACATATATTAAAGTCCACACCTATTCATATACAGAAAGTGCTTTGAGTGGGAATTTCATCTCTGTTCTGGCCAAGTATGAACAGTTTCCTGCAGGAAAGACCAGGATAATCCAAACTGATCAAGTCCACCCAGTTTCATACACTCAACCCTGCAGTCCTATTCAGTTATTTGTCTCTAATTAGTGGAGTAACTTAATCACTTTATGGCCAAATCCCCAACTGCAGGGGCGCAGAAGTCTGCCTACTCTACAGAAACACATACTCCTAATTTCAAGACCTTTACTGCCAAATTTACAAATATTCAATCCTACTTGAGTTATACAAAGCAAATCCTAACTGTAGAACCACAAATAGGGCAGACCTCTGCTACACAGCCTCACCATAAATTTTAATCAGATGCAGACACCTTTATAACTCATAATTTCACGCTGTTCAATCCGTTGTCTGACAACTTATACCTTTTTCTGTCAATCCTAATAGGCTGTTTCACAATCACATAAACATCAGACGTAAAAACAACAATCAACAACCTCAATGTATACTGTAAACATTTAAAGCAAGTTATTTACATCAGTGTTAGTAATGGTGTTAGTGTTAGTGATCGCAGCAGTCTTCAACCACCTGTCAGAATAAAGCAAGTTATTTGGTTCCCTTTTACACAAATTCTTGGAGGGCAGTCAAGATAGGAGATTAAATTTAAAATTCTCCCACCTTAGGCTCCTACCTGCAGAGACAACGCCAATGTTTGTAGTGGCTAGAATGTGATACCGACTAAATTACTTCAGACAAATCATCCCAATTTAACTAATCATTTAATATTACAATTATTCTGAACAGAGTAGTAGTTAAATAGGTAATCTGGTAGCTAGGAAACAGAGAACAGAATCACTCCTCCTGCAATGGAATAGATAAAGTATTAAATAAGGAGATTGTCAGGGCGCCAGTCAGTCATTGTTGGTCACAAGGTACAGTCAGGGGTCCAGTCAGTCAGAGCCCGGCCGGGTCCAAGCTCACTCAAGGCTGCCACACCATCCTTAATTCTCCTCCTACACCCATTAGCCTCACTCTTTTATTCACAGCTTTTCTTAGACTGTTACATCAATTTCTGGGCTTAGCTTCCTGTCTCCAGTTTTTAGACCACCCTGCGATGTACCCAAAAACAGGAAACATCTTGACCAACTTATATAAGCTCATTGTTCAGCTCACATGAACTTAAAGTGAACCCATAAACACTATTCTATTACATAATCCATATTAACATGCAACTTAAACCACTGCAATAGGTTATAGGCAAAAATTCAGAATTAGGCATCAAGGCCTGTAGTGTAAACCCAGCCATAAAAAAAATGCATAGTCAAAGTGAATCTGTGAGGGAGTCAGTAAGCCAAACTTATGAATCACAGCATCTTTTATCTGCAGGTGCTGGAAGCCAGTCTTCCCATTTATACCTTGCATGTTGATATTCTTGGCCAGAGAGTGTGTTAACGTTACACCCATGACTTTCTTTACACACTCTTTAATGTCTCCCCCACCTTGATGAGCCAGTGTGTTTTTCAGTGAATTGATATTTGTTAGTTGATCGGCAGTACAACATGCCCTAACCTTTTGAAACATGTCTGAAATTATCAGCCAAAAATCTGAACCGATTTGATAGTCTGAGCAGCATGTGACCTATGGAAAAAAAACACCACTAACAATTTGTAAAGTAAAATAAAACATCTACAGAATGAAGTCAGTGTTATGGTTTCAGCTACTTTCATAGTAGGTATTTGTGGTCCCTGACAAACCTGCTGTTAGATTATCTGTGTAATTTTGAATCCCCAACAGGGTTTGCATTAGACATCTTTTTTTTTCTACTTTGGTTGAACTGACATTTTTACCAGTTGCTTTTTGAGGTCAGGACTATTTCTGAGCCGCTCCTCCAGGTTTTCAGCAGACTGGCGATCAGCTTAATGGCAGCAGATTTGGTTCAAGACCTATCTCTTCTTCAGCTACAGATTTCAATCCCTGGACAGTTGTGAAAATGATTATTTGGTCCTTCATCATCACCTCTTGATTTGTGAGCATATGTCGCAGGAGTGCTAGAAAGAAAAAGGTTTTTGTGGATAAGTAAACAACTGATTTTATAAAAATGTATTCAGTCAACAGCAGTGACACATCTGAACCTTTGGCCAGGGGGTAGGGAGGCAAACAGTCCATGCTGGGGGTGGGTGGGATCTTTGAGGATGGAGGCAGTTTTCCTACACACCCTGCGGTGGTTGCCAACCTCCAGCAGAATAGTGTAGAGTCGGACTCTGAAAAGACCAAATACTTTTACTTACCTCAATTAGAACTTCAAAACTCTCCAGGAACTGCCCCCATTTAGGCATTACAACCTCAAAACCTAGAAAAAAAATGAAAATAGAAAATTAAGTTTTAAGAGGTCAAGAGGAAGGCCAAAGAGGAGATATATGGATGTGCTAAAAGAGGACATGAAGTTAATTGGGGTGAGAGTAGAGGATGCCAAGGATAGAGTTAGGTGGAAACAGATGATTCGCTGTGGCGACCCCTAACGGGAACAGCTGAAAGAAGTATTCAGTCAACTGCAGATCATGGCACTGAACCTACAGAGGAAAGAAAGGAAAGAAATATTTGAGTTAATTTTAACTTGCCATCTAGTCTGTAGAAAACTCCTATATGCCACATGTACTTAGCCTCAAAATCAGGTGAGGATAACTTACAAGAAACCAAAAGTTAGTCTGATAGGCAACTGAAATCTAAACATTGTCAGCTTCTACAGTTCTCAAACTGTCTAATCTTCTAATACTTGGATGTTCTCAAAACCAAGGTCTTACTTTGCCATCCACATGAATGTCAAAAAATAATAATGAAATATAAAATAGATAAGTAACAAAATCTAAGGCACTTTAACCAGCAAATGCAGCAATATAATAAAAATACAGTATATAAGAATATATCTTATTTTCCTTTTTTTTTTGTAGGGATGCTATAAAGCATCCATACTATGTTATCCTGTTCTTTATCCACGCTATGTTTTCCTCTTATTTATGTGTGGATGCTGACAAGCATCCACACAATTGTTATCCTGTTCTTTATTATTCTGATTTCTTCCGTACGTTTTTTGGCGCTTAATTCCTTCAGCATACTTTCATCTACAAAAGCCATAGAGGTATCAACATGGCAGTCCATGCTGGGGGTGGGTGGGATCTTTGAGGATGGAGGCAGTTTTCCTACACACCCTGCGGTGGTTGCCACTCTGCAGAGAGGGCAGTGGAGTCCTGTTTTAAACTAATTTTACTGGTGCTAATAGAGTTACAATACTCCAGCAATCTTAGGAGAAACTATTTATTGGCTCTGAACTGAAAACCTTTAACTAATCCTACTTACCTTAATATAGTTTGCCTCCAAAATGCTCCAGCAATCCTGTTACAAATCTACCGTATAGATTAGACCTTAAAAACGATGGCACTGAACCTACAGAGGAAAGAAAGGAAAGAAATATTTGAGTTAATTTTAACTTGCCATCTAGTCTGTAGAAAACTCCTATATGCCACATGTACTTAGCCTCAAAATCAGGTGAGGATAACTTACAAGAAACCAAAAGTTAGTCTGATAGGCAACTGAAATCTAAACATTGTCAGCTTCTACAGTTCTCAAACTGTCTAATCTTCTAATACTTGGATGTTCTCAAAACCAAGGAACTCTAAACAGAACAAATCTGAAAGGGACAACATACATTCTAATGATTCAGCATTCATACTATGTTATCCTGTTCTTTATTGTGTGGATGCTGTGCAGTCACACTCTTATTTTCCTTTTTTTTTGTAGGGATGCTATAAAGCATCCATACTATGTTATCCTGTTCTTTATCCACGCTATGTTTTCCTCTTATTTATGTGTGGATGCTGACAAGCATCCACACAATTGTTATCCTGTTCTTTATTATTCTGATTTCTTCCGTACGTTTTTTGGCGCTTAATTCCTTCAGCATACTTTCATCTACAAAAGCCATAGAGGTATCAACATGGTCAGCTTTTTAAGGACGTGTGCTTGTATTTTTGTTGTTTGTAACATTTATACTTTTTCAACTATTTAGCATTTTTCAACAAATTTTGCCCCATTCAAATGAATGGGAAAAATATTCATATCTTAATAACTTCAGCATACCTTCAGCTATTCATAATGTGCACAGCCTTTTGATATCTTTTACAGTTTTTGCATAATTACTGTTTATATTTTATACCTCATTTCCATAGCCACACCCTAGTAGTCCTCAGGGTGTAGGACCACTCTCTCTCTCTCACACACACACACACACACCTACTTGTTTTACCTACTTTGTGGGGGCCATTGGGGAAATATTCACAGCTTAATAAATTCAGCATACTTTCAGCTACAAAACCCATCCAGGTATCAAAATGTTCAGCTCTTCGGGGGCATTCCTACAATATTCATTTTTCAGCAAATTTTGCCCCATTCAAATGAATGGACACAACTTAAGTTCAACATACCTTCAGCTAATAACTTAACTATTCAGCAACTCTTCAGCTATTCATACTATAAACTGGTTTTTCATATCTTTTATGGTTTTTTGCATAACTGCTGTTTACATTTACTATGGTGTCCAGTTTTCATCATGTCTGCATAGGAAACCTGAGACATCACTTAGGGTGGTTTACCTGGTAGCCACGAGAAGGGCCTGCTCATCATTGTGACATACTCTTTTTACAATGTCAGCATACAATACCTTTGGTATAGGTGAAACTTTATGTTGACAACCCTGTTGTACACCTTCAGCTGTACACTCTGTAGGCACATTTACCTGTGAGGACTTTCTGCTGGTTCACCTGTTGCTGTACACTGAAGGTCATTCATCCTTTGCCAGCGGAGATTCACAGCTTCTGACTTTTTACCCTTCAGTGCCATTATGGTCAAAGATAAAAAAAATATTACCCTTTGAAATTGACAGCTGTTTTTTGGAGATTTCATTACAATCACACCTAAATTATGAATCGCACAAAATCATAAATGCAACAAACTGCTTGCTTTGTAAAACAAAGTTATTTCAATTCTGCCAGAAAAATTAAACTCCACAGAAAACAACTTTGCTGAAATATTTTTTCCTACTCACAACAGTTATCACAACCAAACTCTATTATCTGTCCTTCTCCTCAAATGTTTGGACTTACCAGCAGAACAACCAGCAACCAAATCTTATAATGGTTGTATTTTCAATGTCAGAAGCAATATGCATTCACTAAACCCTATATATACATTTGTGTAAAGTCTTGTATTCAAAATCAGCAACAAAATTCTGGTAGTCAGGTGTCTGGTAAGATGATGCAGGTTTGAGTACAAACCTCGACAAGCCTGGAATGACCAACAGCAACATGAGTCAGGAACAGCTACACTGCTCTTGTTTTCTGGGTCCAATTATTATGTATTTGTTCTTTTTATACATTTCTCTTTTCTCAAGAATAAAATATGAATTTAAAGTGAGCACGATCAATATATTTAAGTTCTGTAAATTATGAGACAATGGTTGATCTATGATTGAAAAAAAGTCAAATATTTTCAAACATTTTTAATAAAATGTGGGTAAAAAAATTCTGCTTAAACAATATTCTATTACTAGTCAATGTTTTTTGCAAGTACAATATTTCCAAATTTATGACCAGTTAGTAAAAATATAGAATTAGACAGTGTCTACTGCCAATTGGATCAGAAGATAGGACAGATAGACTGGGAGAGCAGAGAGACTCAGATCAATAAAGATAAGCAGATCAGGTACCACTTACCTGATTGTCCATAAACAAGGGCACCAATAAATGTGTTTCAAGAAATAGGTTCATCAAAGTGTTTCAAAATTCATCAAGCTGTCCAAAATTCCAAAAAACAGAGAGTGGGACAAGAAAAATAGAATTCCTGTTAAACATAGGGACAAGAGAGGCGTCGGACAGCAGGGCACCTGTAAGACAAAATGAAATATTCATTAGAATTTTTTTCCAAACTTGCAGATCCTCTCCAGTTCTGTCAGGTTGGATGGTAAACGTTGGTGGACAGCCATTTTCAGGTCTCTCCAGAGATGCTCAATTGGGTTTAAGTCAGGGCTCTGGCTGGGCCATTCAAGAACAGTCACGGAGTTGTTGTGAAGCCACTCCTTCGTTATTTTAGCTGTGTGCTTAGGGTCATTGTCTTGTTTGAAGGTGAACCTTCGGCCCAGTCTGAGGTCCTGAGCACTCTGGAGAAGGTTTTCGTCCAGGATATCCCTGTACTTGGCCGCATTCATCCTTCCCTCGATTGCAACCAGTCGTCCTGTCCCTGCAGCTGAAAAACACCCCCATAGCATGATGCTGCCACCACCATGCTTCACTGTTGGGACTGTATTGGACAGGTGATGAGCAGTGCCTGGTTTTCTCCACACATACCGCTTAGAATTAAGGCCAAAAAGTTCTATCTTGGTCTCATCAGACCAGAGAATCTTATTTCTCACCATCTTGGAGTCCTTCAGGTGTTTTTTAGCAAACTCCATGCGGGCTTTCATGTGTCTTGCACTGAGGAGAGGCTTTCATTGGGCCACTCTGCCATAAAGCCCTGACTGGTGGAGGGCTGCAGTGATGGTTGACTTTTTACAACTTTCTCCCATCTCCCGACTGCATCTCTGGAGTTCAGCCACAGTCATCTTTGGGTTCTTCTGTACCTCTCTCACCAAGGCTCTTCTCCCCCGATAGCTCAGTTTGGCCGGACGGCCAGCTCTAGGAAGGGTTCTGGTCGTCCCAAACGTCTTCCATTTAAGGATTATGGAGGCCACTGTGCTCTTAGGAACCTTAAGTGCAGCAGAATTTTTTTTTTGTAACCTTGGCCAGATCTGTGCCTTGCCACAATTCTGTCTCTGAGCTCTTCAGGCAGTTCCTTTGACCTCATGATTCTCATTTGCTTTGACATGCACTGTGAGCTGTAGGGTCTTATATAGACAGGTGTGTGGCTTTCCTAATCACGTCCAATCAGTATAATCAAACACAGCTGGACTCAAATGAAGGTGTAGAACCATCTCAGGGATGATCAGAAGAAATGGACAGCACCTAAGTTAAATATATGAGTGTCACAGCAAAGGGTCTGAATACTTATGACCATGTGATATTTCAGTTTTTCTTTCTTAATAAATCTGCAAAAATGTCAAAAATTCTGTGTTTTTCTGTCAATATGGGGTGCTGTGTGTACATTAATGAAGAAAAAAATGAACTTAAATGCTTTTAGCATATGGCTGCAATATAACAAAGCGTGAAAAATTTAAGGGGGTCTGGATATTTTCCGTACCCACTGTAAGCAACTTTACTTCAAATTTCAGTGTTCAACTGCAAACCCTTGTATTCTCGAGAATTTTTGAGCTTCATACTGGTGGGTGTCTATTTAAAACCGCAGGACCATGCTAGCGCACTACAGCTCCTGGCAGAACAGATAACTAGCCTGGAGCTAGAACATCCTGACTTTCCACTCATTGTTCTAGAGGACTTTAACAGAGCAAATCTCAACCTCGAACTGCCCAAATACAGACAGCATGTCACTTGTTCCACCAGGGACAAAATCACACTGGACCACTGCTACACAATAAAAGATGCTCTGTTCCACGCGCAGCCCTCAGACTCTCTGATCACTGTATGGTCCATCTTATTCCAACCTACAGGCAGAAACTTAAAGCTGCGAAGTCTGTGGTCAAAACAGTGAAGAGCTGGACTGAGGAGGCTAAGTCAGAGCTACAGGCCTGCTTTGACCGCACAGACTGGAGTGTATTTGAGGGTGCAGCTACAGACCTGGGCGAACTCACTGACATCTTATATCAGCTTTTGTGAGGATGTGTGTGTGCCCATAAAGTCCTTCTGCACATGCAACAACAACAAGCCCTGGTTTACAGCAAGACTCAAGTAGCTTTGTGCCAAAGAGAAGGCTTACAGGTGTGGAGACAGGACTTTGTACAGCCAGGCCAGGAACACACTGACAGAGGAGATCAGAGCTACTCTGAAAAGCTGAAAGCTAAGGTTTCAGCCAACAGCCCCTCACCTGTGTGGAGAAGTCTGAAAAGCATCACTGGCTATAGAAAACCCCTCTGCTGTGGAGGACCGTCAACTAGCAGATGACCTGAATGTGTTCTACTGCAGGTTTGACAAACAACACTCCCCCCTCACCCTCCCCATCTCAGTCCCAGCACCTGCTCCCCTGAAAATCACCACCCTTCCCTCCAGCTCCCCACCTCTAACAATCTGTGAAAATGATCTGTGTGGCCTCTTTAAAAAACAAAGGATCAGAAAGGCTCCAGACCCAGATGGTGTAACCCCCTCATGCCTGAAAGTGTGTGCTGATCAGCTGGCCCCATCTTCAACAAGTCACTAGAGCTGTGTGAAGTCCCCTCCTGCTTCAAACGCTCCACCATCATCCTAGTCCCCAAGAAAAGCCCCATCAGTGGACTAAATGACCACAGAAATGTCACCCTGACATCTGTAGTTATGAAGTTCTTTGAAAGACTGGTGTTGGCCCACCTGAAGGACACCATAGACCCCCTGCTAGTTTACATGGCACTGCATTACATCCTGCAACACCTCAACTCCCCAGGCACCTATGCACGGGCCCTCTTTGTGGACTTCAACTCGGTGTTCAACACCATCATCCTGCACATCCTACACTCTAAACTGACCCAGCTCACTGTGCCTGCCCCCACCTGTCAGTGGCTCACTAGCTTTCCGACAGGAAACAGCAGGTGAGGCTGGGGAAAACCACATCCAGCACCCAGACAATAAACACAGGCGCCCCACCCTTCCCTCCAACCCCCACCCCTAACG